ACCTATGCCCTCTAGTTCTAGACTTCCTGACCCTGGGGAATAGACCTTGGCTATTCACCCTATCCATGCCCCTCATGATTTTATAAACCACTAGTAAGGTCACCACTCAACCTTCAATTCTCCAGGGAAAATAGCCCCAGCCTATTCAGCCTGTCCCTATAGCTCAAACCCTTGTGAGAAAAAGACCTGCCATCTTTTCCTGAGTCTGAGTCTGTATGTGACCAGGGGCATTGGTTTGAGGTAAAGGGTTCGAGGTTTAGAGAGAAAATTAGGAAATGTTTTTACCCAGAAGGTGGTAAGAATCTTGAACTCACTGCCTGTAAGGCTGGTAGAGGCAGAAATCCTCATAACATTTAAGAAGTATCTAGATGTCCACTTCTAATGCCAAGGCACAAGTGCTTGAAAATAGGTCTAGAATATATAGGTATAACACAGTGTGGAGCTGGAAGAGAACAGCAGGCCAGGCAGTGTCAGAGGAGCAGGAAAGCTGACGTTTCGGGTTTTGACCCTTCTTTGGAAAGAATGGTTAGGTGGTTGTTTTTGGTTGGCACAGAGCCAGTGGGCCGAAGATATTGTTTCTGTGCTGTAGGACCTCATGACTCTCAACCCTGATCATTCAACAAAAGCTGTGAGAATTCTGCAAAGGAAAGGGGCTTTCCACAAAGTTTTGGACCTATTTTCAGTGTCCCTCGATGTTAGTGGGAGCAAAATGTGGAGGTAGTGAGGCTGGAGATAAGAAACAAGAGCCAACTAGGGAATTTGGTACAAATGGGAATTCAGTGTAAATGGGAGAGGAGGTACTTTTTTTTTAACCTTTTCTCAGCCTCCAGGCTGATTCTTGGTGAATTTTATGATTTTGTTTTCCATTTAAACAGGGCCAGGGATTTAATCTGGAACTGAAGAGAAATAAATATTGCATTACATTTACAGCTTAGTTCTTTGCCAATGATCCTGAGACAGTACCTCCCAAATCCATGATCTTTTCCATCTGGAAGGAAGAGGGCAGCAGATACATGGGAACACCAGTACCTGCGAGATCCCCTCCAAGCCACTCACCATCCTGACTTGGAAATATATAACTGTTCTATTAGTGTTTCTGGGTCAAAATCCTGAAACTCCATCCCTAACAGCATTGAGGGTTTACCGATAGCACATGGAGTGCAGTGGTTCAAGAAGCTAGCTCACCACCACATTCTCAAGGGCAATTAAGGATGGGCAATAAATACAGGTTCAACCAACGATGGCCACAGCCCATGAGTGAAAATAAACAAAAACTATTTAATACAACCCTGGATAACAGTTGAGTAATATTTCTAAGTTTAAAACCTAAAATAGTTTAAAAAAAAGGACAATGAAAATGTCAGGGCAAGTTATGTGTTGTAGCTGTGGCATTTTGGAGGTGGTGAATGCCTGTGTGATCCAAAGCAATCACAATATAACAAAGTGTATGCAGTTTGAGGAACTTTTTCTCAGAGTTGTTGACTTGGTATCTGAGCTGACGACACAGTGATGTATGAGGAAAGGGGAAAGTTATCTGGACCCTTTGCTTCTGGAGATGGTATTAGTTTTAGGATAGAAATGTCTGATTAGATCCATGGTCAGGGGCAAGAGGATATGAGTAAGAGTAAGGCAGTAGTGTAGGAATCTCTGCCCCAGGAATTGTCCAATAGATATGAGGCTCTTGTAGATTGCAGGTTATATTACTTGCTCTATCGCAGGGTCAAGGATATCTCCTCAAGGCTAAAGTGGAATGTACAAAGGGAGGATCCATTAACAGTGATCCATGTGTGTACCAATAATATAGGTTGCAGTCAGAAAGAAGTTCTTTTCGGGAATAATAAGGAACGAGGACTAAATTAAAAAGCAGAACCACAAAGCTAATCATCTATATTTAGTGGCGATAATTGTCTGATGATGATGTAACTAGGCTAATAAGCTGTGGATTAGTGTTTGAATCTTATCTGTAGCAGATGGTGAAATTTCAATTCAGGGAGAAGGATTCAGGTGAAAAAAGCCTTAGAAATCTATGGTAAAAGTTGAGGCATTAGAAAAGTATACTGTTGTGGGTAAAGAAAAGCCAAATTGAAACAAAGGGACAGCGAGTTTAATGGTAATATTGCATCAAAGAGTAAGTGGGGAAATCTTTTTGGCTGTGCAGAGCATCTGCAGTAAAATATGTGAAGGAGTCGCACAAATAGAAGTAAATGACATCGATCTGATCGCCCATTACTAAGAGATGGTTACAAGATGACCAAGTTTGGATAATAAATACTCCTGGGAAAATATTTTAAAATAAAACAAACAAAATTGGAAGTTAGAGCAGTAACCCTGAAAACAAAGCATGGCATTAAGATATTTGTGAGAAAATATCACAACACAAAAATATCAGGAGGTTGAAACAGTATGGGTATAGATTGTTAATATCAAGGGTCGGAAAATACGTGTTTAAAGGCCCCCTAGCAACAGTTATATTGATAGACAGAGCATTTAAAAATAAAATTCTTGGAGCTTGTAACAAATGCAGTTAAGTAGCTGTGTGTAATGTTAAGTTTAATAATGACAGGAATATATCAAATTGGCAAATAAAAAATCTGAAAGTTTAGTTTGTAGAATATTTTTGTGACATATTTCTGGAGCAAGATATTGTGAAACTAATTAGGTATGAAGCTATTTTAGATCTAGTTTTGTGTAATAACGTAGGATAAATAAATATTATCATAAGAAAAGATCCACTGGGAAGGAGTAATCAGATTACTATTGAATTCCACATGAAATTTGAAAACAACATTATATAATCATCCAGCCAAGATTCTTAAATTTAAATAAAGTCAATTACATTTGTATGGGTGTTCAGAGCGTCTAAGGTCGATTTGGTAAATAGAATGGTCTATGATAGTGGGAATAAATAGTAGGAAACATTTAAATAAACAATTCAAAACATTCAACAAGAAATACATTGTCTTGTAAATCAAGCAAGATCCATCAGTGATTTATTAAGGATATTCAAGAATGTATTAAAGAATGGTTGTAGGTCTGAGGATTGGGAGTGTTTTAGAACCCAGTAAAGGGCCACCAAGATGTTTGTGGAAAGAGGGCAGATATATGGGCCAAAGGGCCAGTTCTTGTGCTGTGCTTTTCTAAGTTCTAAGGGGAAGAAACAAAAATCTGTGAGTAAACTAGTGAGAAACATAAAAATAGATTATAGGAATTTCACAAGTATTTGATTTGATTTATTGCTGTCACGTGTACCTAAGTACGGTGAAAAAGTTTTGTTTTGCGAGTAGTACAGGCAGACCATAGCAAACAAGGGCATACAGATCATAGGGTGCTTAAACAGAGCGAGGCATACAAGATTACAGCTGCACAGGAAGTGCACAAAGCAAGATGAACACCAGATTTGAAATGTAAAGAGGAAGCAAGAAACCTGAAGTAAATATTGTTAAATATTGAAGTAGAGGCAGGAAAGATTATCATGGACATTGAGGAAATGTTATAGATATTGCACAAATGTTTTGTGCCTGTGTTCAGTGTAGAAGGTAGAAGTTATATACTGGAAATAGAGGGTAACCTAGGGACTGATAAGAGTGAAAAAATTAAAGTGATTAATATCAGTAAACAAAAAGAATTGGTGAAACTTGAGGGACTACAATTTGTGAAATCCCCAGATTCAATGACTTACATCCTAGGGTCCTAAAACAGAAAGCTACAGAGACAATGGATGCTTTGTTTATGTTTTTTTTAAAGATTTTTCTGTCCAGACTTCTGTACCTCTCTACTTTTTGCCACTTCTAAGGTCCTCTTTAAAACATAACTGTTTCACCAAGCAGTTGTTCATCTTTTCTGACTTTTCTTTTTGTGAATTTGTGGCAAAGAAAATGTCAATCATGGTTCTTAATGACACCATTTTAAAAAAAACCTGGGGACATTTTTCAATTTTAGATGCTATATAAATGCATATTATTGTTGTTCTTGTTGAAATCTATTTTAATTGCTGAAAAAGTTTATTTTGTTATTTTGCCTTTATCAGGACAGATGCAAGAATACTAAATTTCAAAGGGATCAACAATTTAACTGCATGAAAAAGTGGAGTGCTGATTGATTGACAAGTGAAAAATGTGCAAAGTGATATCAGATGTGGGGTTTAATGTTTGCCCAATTCAGGATCAGCTGTTCTACACTATCATCTGATGTTGATTTATTCCTTGTTATGTGTGGATGTGCATGTATCTTTTCATTTATATGACGTTTCAGCCAGAGGACAAAGATTTAATGTAACTGGCAATAGAAGCAAAAGGGGTTTGAGGAAAAAACTTTCACAGTTAGTTGTTTTGTGGAACACACTGTCTGAAATGGTAGTGGAATTCACTTTTTATTCGACTTTCAAAAGGAATTGTATAAATAATTGTAAAGGAGAAATTTCCCAGGCTGTGTGGAAAGAGGAAAGTCAGTGAGATTGATTGGATTAGTATTTCCAACAGCTCATGGACAATGGGCCAATTGGTCTCTGAAATAACCGCACTGAGACTAGTATCCTGTCACCAAGTCACCCTTTATTTACATGTGCACTGCATATGGGCTCTGACCAGCCAGCTCAGAGCCCGTCCCTAAAATGAAGAGACTCTCTGATTCTCTTGGTTAAATCTATCAACCAGGGCTCTCTGATTGGACCAGGTTAACAGCCCCAAACAAGGATCTCATAATCAATGAGATTCACCTGGCCATCATTCTGTGATTGTTTGTGTTGCGACTCTAACCTTCAGAGATTCATAGAACACTCCATACCTTGTATGTTATTTTTATGAATGTGTTCTATTTCTATAATAAGGTGTCTTTCTCCTTACTATTTACGAATCTTTGCCAACAAACCTGTTTCGATACCAGCAATCAACATCAAATCTAAGAGCAGGAGATAAATCTCAAACACATTCATTTTCTTTCACTGTGAAATAATTCAAGGTTTTTGTGCTCACTCTGTAACTTGTCTCCTTTATTCCCTTCAGTGGGATTGCTGGAGCCGCGCAATCTGAGGGTATCTGATGAATGGTATACTCGATTCCGTGTGACCTGGGATCCTGCACCATCTCCAGTCCTTGGATATCGACTTGCTTACCAGCCCACAGGTAGCTAAACACCACACCTGTACTGCATATGTCCCATTCACCTGCTCTTTTACACAGTTTTATTTCCTCTCCTGTGGTTTCACTGCAGGTAATAATGCTTCACCTTCGCTTTTCCATTTCCATCACTGCAGTCTTAAATTTTATGATTTGCCTCCCCTAGATTTTATTCATTTGGTGCTTGGAATAATAAAAGAATAACAAAAATTGCTGATAATCATATGACTGAATTAAAACTTAGACTCACCTGGCCTTCCAGACCTAACATTCTAGCTCTCGATTTCATGTACCTTAGCCAGTGCTTGTTGATCCAGGGAGGATTAGGAGATCAATCAAGGGCTTCTGGTTCCTGGAAGCTAGCAGAGGGTGGATTTGGCTGCATGCTCACCTAGGATTATACAACTTACCCACAAATATGATGGATCGGACACTGTATGCCAAATTCAGAGATCAACACCCCCATGTCTTGTAGCTACCTGACTGAAGTCTGACACAAGATTGGCTTGTGCATGGCTTCTGAACAAGCTTCATCCCTTTACAAATTTAAAGAGTGCAGCCTAACACCATTTTTAAGGCCCTCGCTAAGTGCACTTTGATTGAGATCCTGGCCTGCATTAGATCCCCCAGGATTCTTCAACATTCAACACAATAACTGTTTTTAAAGGAGAAACTTCAAAAATGCATTTGGGAACAGGAGCTCTACCTCTCCAATAATATGACCTCCCACCATACCCTGCACCTGATCCCTGACTGATATTCCATGAAATGTGAATGTGTACCCTAATTTTGCCTTGTTGAAATGGCTGAGCTTTCATGCTGGTGCACCTGGCTCGAGAAGCCATCCTGGAAAATCAGGCACCAGTCTCGAAGTTTGTTGCTGAATTGGGGGTGTGAATCCCAGTTTATGACCTTGCACTCAACTTCAAGCACAAAGTCTGAACCTCAATTGAGTCATTGGCCCCTCCTGAAGATACATCTGAATCAATGTTCACCTTCCTGTCAGATTACAATCATATGGAGCTGAATTTCAACATAATAGGTACATTTTTTATTCAGTGTTTCTCCTGCTCTTTCCCTCCTTATTCATGTGAAAGCCACATTAAACCCAGGAATAATAAATCATGAAAGATAGTGGATCTAAAATTTAATGCTTTTGTCGTTTCAGGCAGCGATGAGAAAATGGAGTTGTTTGTGGGAGATGTGACATCTTATACACCACAGAATCTGAAACCCGGGACACCGTATGATGTCAACGTCTACGCCATCTACGACTCAGGAAGCAGTGGTCCATTGGCAGGCCAAGGCACTACCTGTAAGTTAATGTGGCCGACTTTGTATTGAGGCAAAGTGGTGCTGCTTTCGTTTCTTCTTCTCACCCGCTCTTCTAAGTTCCCCACCAGCTTTACCTGCTGGACCTTAAGCAAGCAGTCGGCCCTCGATTTGCACAACTTGCTGCCATTGACGGATTGAAGGTCACAGCTCCCTGGTGTAACTGCCTGGCAGTGAAACTGCCATAGTGACAATGCCAAACTGCGTCTCTTCATTCTTGGGAGGGTCACTTGCAAGGATGAAAGGGACGTGATTCAGGACACATGGATTGACACTCATAGCTTCAGTAATGCCTCTTTTGTTGCGGTGGAACAAATTTGCAGTGGCATTACACCAGCTATGCAACAGCAACTGACCATGCCCACATTTCCTTTAAAAACACCTCTACTCGGTGTGTTCTGATTGCAGATAAGAGGGGGGATGAGGAAAACAGCCAAATTCTTCAGCCTGAATGCTGAGTTGGGGTCAAGTCCTAATGAGCTTCCCTGAGCATTCACTGAGTTTCACTGAGCTGAGCCAGACGGGCTGTGAGTGCACAGTATCTCAGTGTTGGACAGGACGGGGGCTTGGCTCTTGCCTCTCAGCAAGCCTTGGGGTCAATGCCTAACGATGGTGCTCCCAGTTCTCATTCAATCACAGGGCATGAGTGTTACTGGGAATACCAGCATCGATTCACAGTCCAGTGAGACACTATCTAATGGGCAGGATCAGGGGAGTAAGGCAGGAGCAGACTCTGAACACATAAACAAGGAGCAACGGTAGGGCCAATCTGCCATTTGAGCCTGCTCTGCCAATCAATAAGATTGTGGCCAATTGGATTTTAACTACAACTCTACACTCCTGACTCCCTCCAATAATCTTTCATACCCTTGGTCATCAAGAATCCATCTACCTCTGCCTTACACATATTGAAAAATTCTGCATCTAATGCATTTTGACGAAGGGAACTCCGAAGACTCTCAACCCTCTGAGAGAAAAAAAGAATGTTTCCTCATCTCTATTTTAGCTTCCAAAGTGGTGCACATGATAACTCTGGAATCCAACAGTGGACTGTTCCATGCAGCAATAGTGGGTTACTCTGGATGGACCAAATGGTCATTCTCAGGTTCAAACATGTTGTGGTAACTCTTCTTGATCCTGAGAACGAATGCGAGAGAAAAATAAAGAATCACTTGCCCTCGCAGAGCGGTCCGGATATCTGACCTTTCACTTGTCAGGTTTGAAAGGGGTACAAGGTACTAGTGGCTTTAAAATTAATCAGAGAACTGTAGGAAGAAAAATGATTTTTAAAAATCTGTTCTCAGGGTGTGGCTTCACTGGCAGGGAGGGTCTTTATTTCTCTTGACAAGGTAGTAGTTGTCTTTTCTTACTCCTGCAACATTACCCTAATACCTTTATCTCAAAGCCACTCTATTTCCTACCTTTAAGGAGAGTAAAGAGGTGCTGATTTTATTTTGCACCAATCTGCCTGTGGCCTCCTTTTGCTCCCCAGACATATCACACATTGCAGATTGCAGGATGAATGTGTTTTTCTTTGCTGGACGCTGATTTCCTCTGGGTTTATACTGATGGCTGCCAGGTTCAGTCTAAGCATTAGCCAGTGTTAAATTACCAGCCCCTGCATGCGCTCAGTTTTCATTCCCCACAGAAAAGTGGCAGGATATTCCTGTCAACCCTTTGTTCTAGCGAACGCAGACTTCACACTTTCAGAGTTGAAGCCAACTTTGAGGTCATGTGGTGAAAAGTTTATTTCAGAATGTAGGTGAAGGGATTAAAGCATCATGACTTAATCTAAACCACTGTGTGTGAAGGTCTGACACTTTAATGCCAAATGTCAGACGTCACCATCCAGACCGGTCTCAGTGGGCCCCCTTTTAATCTACCCATTTAATTTTTTTTTCTTTACCCCTCTTTCCCAGCTTCCTTCTTTCCTTTAATATCATCCCTCTTGGATATTCTTGCACCCAAATCCCGTCCCTCAACCTGACTCTTCAACCTTCCTACTGCCTGGCCATATTCATGATGTGGAGGTGCCGGTGTTGGACTGGGGTGAACAATGTCAGAAATCAGGAGAGAGGCTGTGAAAGCTTGTGTTTTCAAATAAACCTGTTGCACTATAACCTTCCATATTCCACAGCTTGAGTAACTGTTAGATAAATCTGCAGCGTCCCTCTGGATCTTGGAGTAGCCTCCGAAGGGACCATTGAGGAATGTTTGCTGCCTCCTTATGAGCCACAGGCCCTAAATGCCCCATTCTCCTCTCTCATAATATCATGAGCAGGTTTAGGCCTCATATCTAAGGAAGGATGTGCTGGAGTTAGAGGGGGTCCAGAGGAGGTTTGCAAGAATGAACCCAGGGATGAAAGACTTGACATATGAGGAGCGTATGAGGACTCTGGGTCTGTATTCGATGGAGTTTAGAAGGAAAAGGGCAGATCTCATTGAAACTTACAGAATACTGCGAGGCCTGGATAGAGTTGACATGGAGATGTTTCCACTAGCAGGAGAGACCAGGAACCAAGGGCACAGTGTCCGAGTGAAGGGACAGCCCTTTAAAACTGAGATGAGTAAGAATTTCTTCAGCCAGATGGTGGTGAATCTGTGGAAATCCTTAGCACAGAGGGCTGTGGAGGCAAAGTCATTGAGGTTCTTGATTAGAAAAGGGATCAAGGGATATGGAAAGAAGGCAGGAGAAGGAGGTTGCAAAACTCGATTGAGTAGCGGAGCAGAATCAATGGACATACAGGCCTAATTCTCATCCTAAATTGTATGGTCTTATGGTCTTACTGATCTGTCTGTTAAATTAAGTCTTATGGGGGTAATCCTTCCAATATCCTCCACATTCAACTCATCACTCACCTCGTTGACCCAAAGAATTCTTATATTTCCCTCCAGAAAGCCTTGTGAACAAAGCCCTTGCCACCTATAAGCTGGGGGCTGATGGTTATTCCCTTCCCCCTGAATGAATCCTTATCAGTTAAGCTGCAGATTTCAACACTAGCTCTGCCAAGGCTACCGGGGTGGTAGTGTGGCACTTGTCACTGATACCCACCTTGCTCTTTTCCTCACCATTTCTCTGGCATTTTCTGCTTCACCATGACTGGGTTAGGCATGTGAGGATGTGGAGAAGGGGAAGCAGGTTGTTGATTTCCTCACCTCATGTTTGGATCCCTTGCAGACTAACTGATAGAGTTTGATTTGTGTGACCAGTGTAGCACCTCTTTCATTGCAGCATTGGTTGAAAAGAAGCAGATGGACCTGGGGGACTTGTCTCCCTCTGCAATCCTCATGCTTCCAAATAGGCAGTGATCTGTTTGACGAAACGTCAGCTAAAGTAACGTGTGGGGTGATTTCTCATGTTGCTGACGACACCAGATGAAATGTTCTTTGGTTTTTCTCTTTCTCTCCTAGTGTACCTAAATGTGACTGGAATAAACACGTACAACATTGGCTGGGACACCTTCTGCATCCAGTGGAATCCTCATAGATCAGCAAGCTCCTACAGAATAAAGCTACAACCAGTTGATGGTAATCATGGAGTTCTAGAAGGATTTTTGTTGTTAACAAACTGCTTGTTTTTAGTAAAGACTGGAAGAACTGTAGATGCTGTAAATCAGGAACAAAAACAAAGTTTCTGGAAAAGCTCAGCAGGTCTGGCAGCGTCCGTGAAGGACAAACAGAGTTAACGTTTCGGGTCCGGTGACTGAGAACTGAGGAAGGGTCGCCAGATCCAAAACGTTAACTCTATTTTCTCCTTCACAGATGCTGCCAGACCTGCTGAGCTTTTCCAGCAACTTTGTTTTTGTGCTTGCTTTTATATATTAGATTAGAATAGTTAGGTGGTTGTTTTTCACTGGCACAGATATGATGGGCCCAAAGGCCTTTTTCTGTGCTGTAGGTCTATAGGATTCTACCGTTTGATAGTTATCCAATGCACAGCTGCCTGTATCCAAACACACAGCAAGTCCCACTTACTCATCTTCCCTGTGCTCGCTGACCTACATTGGTTGTTGATCCAATATCCTTGGAATTTAAGATTGTTTTCAAATTCCTCTGTGTCCTCAACAACTTGCTGTCTCAGTCGGTTCCTACAAATCTTTTGAGTTCGCAGTGTTCCTGCAATTCTGATTGGTCTGTTCTCACACTTCCTTTCACCCACAAGAGCAGTCAGTTCCGAGACTCAATAAACTTCTATCTCAATGTTGCTAGTCAGCCAGTAGACTGATATATTCTGTGAGTGACTCAGTGTTGCAACTGGAGAGAATTAGCAAAAGAATTCCAAGACATGGATAAAAGGAGAGGAAAGTGGATGGTGCAGCGGGTGAGGTGGTGACACTGGCATTTAATTCCCAGCAACTGTGGTTTGAATTCAGTCCAGATTAAGTCTCTGTTATCCACTCAACTGTTGCATCTGATTTGAAAACCAGTATAAGGGCATCACTTTTGTCAGCGTAAATCTCCATTGAATTAAGATTGAACTGGCAATGCTACTTGAAGGCAGAATGGCACTGGTGTAAAATGGAAAGTCTTTCATATTTTCGAGCTGGGCCACATTGTTTGGGCGGTGTAAGGGGAGCCTTTACAATGCATTTCAAATGGATGACCTTAGGAGTAAACTTGCACATATTCAGTGACATCTGTGACCTCAGTATGTCCTGAAGTGCTTCACAGCCACTCAAGTACTTTTGAAGTCCCCGTTGTAAAATGCTGGGCAGCCCAGCACTCAATTTCTGCACGACCAGCTCCTACTAACAGCAAGTGATAACCAATCCCTCCGCTTTAAGTGTTGGGTAAGTGGTCAATATTGGCCCGAGCACTGGGAAAATCTCCCCTGCTCTTCTTATAATAATGTCATGGGATCAATTCAGGGAGCACATGAGGCTTGACATTTCATCTGAATGATAGCATCTTCAAGAGCGCGGCACTCCACTAGTACTGCTCAGGGGAGTGCATGTGCCTTTGTACAGAAGTACAGGCTTGACCAACAAGTGAGGCAATGGCCCAGTGATATTATCGCTAGACTGTTAATCCAGAGACCCAGGCAATCTGGGGACCCAAGGTTTGAATCCTGCCATTGCAGATGGTGGAATTTGAATTCAATTTTTAAAAATCTGGAATTAAGAGTGATGAGTCCATTGTTGAAGAAAGCCCATCTGGTTCATTAACATCCTTTAGGGAAGGAAACTGCCATCCTTACCTGGTCTGGCCTAAATGTGATTCGAGATCCACAGCAATGTGGCTGACTCTTAACTGCTCGCTGGGCAATTAGGGGTGAGCAATAAATGTTAGCCCAGCCAGCAATGGCCTCATCCTGTGAATGGATAAAAACTAAATCTTCCTGACCACTGTAGTTTAATAAAGCAAGTGCCACTTTTGAAGTTCCTCCCATAAGTTGGGGCAGCTGGGAAATGAAGGGAAGTGTATGCCCCTTGAATTCTGTCTGCAGTCATACAGTCACTCTTCACCTCGTACTCTGAAAAAGATGGTCATGGTATGGAGCCGCACAATAAACTCTCAATCTAGACTGAAACTCTAGTGTGGCATTTACTGAATGATGTGTTGTTAAGTATCATCTTTCCAAGCTCCATGACTGTTTTGACAAACCTTAGAAATTTGCACAATGCTGAAAAAGAGCAGCGGATGTTGTGTTGGAATCCTCACCAACATTCCTCGCTTAAGCAACACCATCAGTAACAGATGGTTACATGTTTTCTGTGAAAGATACACAGTTCAGCTTCCTCCATGACCATAGTGATTACACGTAAATCATTAACCGATAAACACTGAGATAATTTGTTGATATGATAAAAGGCCATATCGATGAAATTGTTCCCATCATGTTTTAGAACTCTCCGGAAACATGTTGCAGTGAAGGGCAACTTGAACATAAATGTGCAAATTTTTATTATACTGAAATGATTTTGGAATGTTTACCACTGCACCTTGTTTCCATATGGATTCAGTCCACAACAAAGCCTGTAGGATGTTAAAAACAGGAAACCGAAGTGTGCACTGGAGACTATAATTCATTAGCCTTCATTATCATAACCTTTGAAGGTTTGCCAACTAACTCACTAAAAGATATGAAACACAAGAAGTTTAACAATATCAGAAAGGGATCCTGAAGCACGAATGAGCTGAATCCACATATGCATATAAACTCAGACATCTGTGCACGCACAGATACAAATGTATGTACAAACACACATGCTTACAGACATAAGAGTTAGTTGCAGGAGTAGGAGTATTTGACCCTTCGAGATTGCTCCACTATTTAGTAAGATCATGGGCGATCTGATTGATGAATTCCATATTCCCAATACCCCGATAACTTTTCACCCCCTTGCGTAGCAAAAATCTGTTCATCTCCGCCTTAAAAATATTCAAGAACTCTTTTCAGGAAGAGCCTTCCAAAGACTTATAATCCAATATGAGAAAAAAAAATTTCTACAGCTTTGTCTTAAATGGATGTTCCCTCATTTTTAAACAGTGACCTTTGAGTTGTATATTCTTCCACAAGTGGAACTATCCTTTCCATGGCCATCCAGGCAAGCTTGAGTCAGCTCTTATTCTCCTAAATTCCAGCGGATAGAAGCCTAGTCTTTCCAACCTTTCTTTATAAGAAAGATGTTTAGGTTGGGTGGATTGACCTGGTAAAATTGTCCGTAGTGTCCAGGAATGGGCAGGTGGGTTAGCTATAGGAAATGTGGGGTAATGGAGATAGGGTGGGGGAGCTGCGTCGGGGTGGGATGCTCTTCGGAGGGTCGGTGTTGAACTGATGGGCTGAATGGCTTCTTTCTGCACTGTGGGGATTCTGTGATTCTATGACTCTAAGACATCCTGCTCACACAAATACACGCGGTACATTTACACACATTCATGCACACTCACAAACATGCCCCCTTCATACAAACAGCTTATAAACAATATTGAGAGAAATATACATGGAGCTATGGACCTGCCCGTCTCAGAGTGCTGAATGTATCTGTAAACTGAGTGGCATTTCCTGTTTTCATTGTGCTGCAGTTCTGCCACGTGATTTGGAGATAGTGGAAGCAGAAATACCTGCCAGCTAAAATAGTCCTACTTGGTTTTAAACATGTTTACAGGTTGAAGATGGGGAGGGAGTCTGAGTTGCTGCTGTGTATAATTGGAAAAGTTTTACAAATACTGCTTCCAACCCTGTTACAAACTCACAGGAATGAATGGAACTAATGAACGGTAACACCATTGCAATTCCATCCTCATACTTTCGAAATTTTCAGAAGTGAGAAAAAGGCCTTAAACTAGGCAAAACTCGTCCTGATTTCTTGTCTCCAACAAACCTCTTCCTGTTTCTGTATTAAAGACTGATGGCACAGTCATAGAGAGGTTTGGGATTATTTTTGTGGGTTCCTTCAGATTCCCCAAGAGTGGTCTTAATCCATTCCTGTCTACAATCCACCTCGCTGCCAAGCCAGGTTTGTTCAAAATTGCTCATTTTGAAATGTCAGGCAGGATGGCCAAAAGGACAGACAGCTGTTTTAAATGTAGATTGTCTCTCAAGACCAATGTACAAAATGCCACCTACTCCAGTCTCTGCATAGATGCTGGCTTATCTGCATAATGTTTCCATGATCTCTTCATTCAGATTTCCTGGCATCTGCGATTTTACTTTTAGTTTTGATGTTGCATTGTCTTACATTGTGCATTCAGTGCAGTCCAGTAAATCTGCATCCTACACACTCCAGTCTAATTACTGTCAAGTTCCATAGTCCTTAAATCATTAGGCTCACTCAAGAGCAAACTCCCCCACCACGCCTCTCTGCTTTTAATCATACTTACTTCCTCTGTCCCCATTCAGTTTACTGCTGAGCACTCACCTTATATTGTGTTCGCATGAATAAGCCTTGTGTCAGTGATTCCAAAAGACTACCTGAGAATTTCCTCCAGCATTTTAGGGTCCATAATATCGGCATTACATTACTCAGAGCTCTCTTTGAAAACTGATATTTCAGGTGGTAGCCTTTTTAAATGAATGATGATAGCTGAAGGGAAAGGAAATAAATATCCCTGCATCGCAGACACTCCTGGACATTTCAATCCAAGGAAGTGATCAGTTGAAAGGCAATATCAAATAATTTACTAGCAGCGTGCTGAGGCTGAGATGATGCACAACACAACATAGACTGCACACACAAGATGCTGCTCAGTGTGTTATTCTGAAAAGTCCACATTTGTTGCAATAATGTTAATAACCCAAATACTACTTCAATTTTACAAACACACAACGGTGATGTCTTTATAAACATTATCAATAAGTTTAAAATCTGGATGCTCACCATTGTATTTTGTGTCTCCCATGTAAATTATTGTGATTCAGAATTCATACAAAATGGACTCCAGGAATTATGTTACCCTGCTCATGTTGAGTACTCATTCATAAAACAAACTCCGAGAATGCTGGAGAAACGCAGCAGGTCTGGCAGAATCTGAGGAGCGAGGAACAGACTTAATGTTTGAAACTGATATGACTGTTCTTCAGAGCAGTTCAAGTCATACTAGGCTTCAAATGTTAACGGTATCCACTGTATTTTGTTTTCAAATGGGAACTCATTCATTCCTCTCTTTGTTTTGAAGCTTACGCCAGTGGTCATCAAGAAGTAACCATCAGTGGTGCTGAATCCAGCCATTGCTTCACTGGGCTTTCCCCTGATTCCCTTTATGAAGCTGTCATTTACACTCAGCTCCCAAACCTCGAGGGACCTGGAGTGCACGTGCAGGAGAGGACCTGTGAGTACTGTGTTGCAAACTATCATTAACAAGAGGGCAAGGAAGGAACAATAAACTTTCTACTTGCAAGTGGGAGTTGGAATAACATCTCTAGTGATACAATCAGTAATACAAGGCACAGAGGGAGCCATCACTGAGGGGTGTGTGAGAGAGAGCTGAATGCACATCAGTGGAGATACAGTCAGTAACGTAAGTTGCTGGGGGGTAGGGAGAGAGGTTACTGAGTAACCATGTGAGAGAGCTGGATCCACAAAAGGACCCCAGTTAATGGAGATGGAAGTTCAAATCCCACCATGCTATGTGGTGAACTTGTATAATTGGAAAGGTTTTCCAAAACTGCTTCCAACCCTGTTACAAACTCACAGGAATGAATGGAACTAATGAACGGTAACACCATTGCAATTCCATCCTCGTACTTTTGAAAATTTCAGAAGTGAGTAAAAGACCTTAAACTCAGCAAAACTCATCCTGATTTCTTGTCTCCAACAAACCTCTTCCTGTTTCTGTATTAAAGACTGATGGCACAGTCATAGAGAGGTTTGGGATTATTTTTGTGGGTTCCTTCAGATTCCTCAAGGATGGTCTTAATCCATTCCTGTCTACAATCCACCTCGCTGCCAAGCCAGGTTTGTTCAAAATTGCTCATTTTGAAATGTCAGGCAGGATGGCCAAAAGGACAGACAGCTGTTTTAAATGTAGATTGTCTCTCAAGACCAAAGTACAAAATGCCACCTACTCCAGTCTCTGCATAGATGCTGGCTTATCTGCATAATGTTTCCATGATCTCTTCATTCAGATTTCCTGGCATCTGCGATTTTACTTTTAGTTTTGATTTTGGATTGTCTTAAATTGTGCATTTGATGGCCTTAAAAACTAATCTACAGCCCAACGGGGAAGGGAAGCTGTGTCCATACCTGATGTGGGCCTGACTATCGCAGGCACCCACATTCTGTGAACGAATGAAATGAAATGAACTCCGGTTCATGGAGTGGTGGGAGAGACTGGCTGGCTACTCTTTAACACCCACTGAAAACACATGCGAATGTGTATTGGAGGAGCACACAGTTATCTTGCGACTGCCCATTTGATCCTTTATCCGTTTCCGATCTCTCAGAGAATAAAATGGACCCTTTGACTGTGGTTTGAACGGTTCAAGCCATTCTCTCCTGGGTAGGGGAAAAGGGAATGGTGGAGGGTGAATAGAATGGGGAAAGGGGTGAGAATGGTTGCCTATCCTTTCCAAAGGGCTACAGTTTTGAGTTTGAATTTGAGTATTGGTATCGGGTTCACAAACTTAATTGCATAACCTGACCTCCAATCAGATGGTCAAAAAAATGAATGCTTTTCTCGGGGGCTGGGTGTTTTGATTTTGTGATAATTTAAGAAATATTTCATTAAAATCCCAAATGCACGTTTGATTTCATTTGCAGCGTTTCGCCCGACAGAAATTCCAACAGAACCCCCATCTCCTCCTCCTCCACCAACGATCCCTCCAGCCCGGGAAGGTGAGTTCTTTACCTTAGCTGTGTTGCCATTTCTGATGATCTTACTCGGGAGTGTTGCGATGGGGAAAATATGGTCCAAAATTTGGAGGCCTCTCTGGAAAGTTTTAGACTTTGGATTTAAGTCAGAATGAACCCTGGAGTTCTACAATAAAAGCAGAGAGCTTTGGAATTATGCAACAGGTCTGACTGCGCCTGAGGGAGATTTTTCAGGGGCTACAGGATTACTACTCTGATTGGATCTGTTTCCAGATTTTATGTTTATGGTGCATCAATGATCTGGATATTAAATCATGACAGAACTGCTTGCATCAGCTGCTGTATCAATTAATCAAATATTTTACATGAATTTTTTTGTTACAAGTGAAAAAAGAGAAGAAAACAAAGTAAATGGATTATTTAAATGTCTTTTGGTTATCATTTTGGCTTGCAGGAATGGCTTGAGGAAAAACCCTTAAATTCTAGAGAATCCATCGCAATCCTGAAGGGCTTGTGTAGTCCAGGACCCCATCTCTCAGTGGCACAACATCAGAATGTTACAGAGATAGTAGGAACTGCAGATGCTGGAGAATCCGAGACAACAAGGTGCAGGGCTGGATGAACACAGCAGGCCAAGCAGCATCATAGGATGCCACAACGATGCCACCTGAAGGTTGCAGGAACAGTAACTCATATTCCGCTTAGGAACCCTGCAGCCCAATGGTATCAATGTGGATTTCACAAGTTTCAAAATCTCCCCTCCCCCTACCGCATCCCAAAACCAGTCCAGCTCGTCCCTGCCTCCCTAACCTGTTCTTCCTCCCACCTATCCCCTCCTCCCACCTCAAGCCGCACCTCCATCTCCTACCGACCAACCTCATCCCGCCCCCTTGACTTGTCCGTCCTCCCTGGACTGACCTATCCCCTTCCTAACTCCCTACCTACACTCACCTTTACTGGCTCCATCCCCGCCTCTTCGACCTGTTTGTTTCCTCACCACCTATCCTCTCCTTTATCCCTCTTCTATCCGCCTCCCACTCTCTCCCTATTTATTTTGGAACCCCCTTCCCCTCCCCCTTTTCTGATGAAGGGTCTAGGCCCGAAACGTCAGCCTCTCTGCTCCTATGATGCTGCTTGGCCTGCTGTGTTCATCCAGCCCTGCACCTTGTTGTCTCAGAATGTTACAATCCTCTTTGTCCCCATAATGGAATGGGCATGTCAGTGTGTTCCCAGCTATTACATTTTCCACCTTGATTTTCCAACATGTAGATTGGAGGCAATGAGATTGAAGTTGGGTTGGGTTATTGTGACAATTGATTCCATCTGTGGTTAAAAGTAATGAGGCATTTAATTTATACCTGGTGCGGATACCTTGTGGCATTGCTCGTTTGCAGTTAGAAGAAACTTAGGAGATGTCACCCATTACACACCAAGACTGAACTTGGTGTTGGAGGCTGAAGTCCACCACCTGGGCTAAAAATAAGGTTTTGCCCTGGTTCAGCTGGAGACAAGACCTGGAGAGGCACTTTCTCCTGGTGGCCACTGGTGGAACTGCAATCCCTGTTGATTGCAGTGGCCCAACCCCACCTTCCAGGAGCCGCTGATACAATCAGAGGATGACCATTGCCGATTCTATCCCAAAAGGAGGGGCGAGCATAGGTGGATGTGTGCCCCGAAGACAGGCAAATAGTATCTAGGGACAATGGGGCTGGGCACCCAGGGATAAAATGACCACATGCCAAGGGCAGGGGTCACTTTGTCATGGGATCAGCTGTTGGCTTCAGGGATCCCCTCTGTGGATCATGAAGCAATCCTGCAGCCCCACAAACCCCAACCCTCTTGAAACCCACTCGGAGACTGATAGGTCTTTCGTATAAAATCTCCCATGTGGTGGTGGTCTCTCTCACTGCTAGTAGAATGCCTACAGTGGCTGGAAGAGACATTAACCAGCTACTTAAATGGCTCAATGTGGCTTAAGGGAGGTGACAGGACTCCCAACACTCCTGCCATTGGCGAAACTGCATGCTGGCCGGAAGTGTTTGAGCATGCCCACTCCTCCCCCAGTTCTTTAACACCTCATTTTGTCAGCCTTCACATTTCCCTGTCCATCATCATGAGGGTGCTGGTGAACTTCAGCCCACTGTCTGAGGAAACAAGTCATCCTCAGCACGGGAAGAATGAGGTCACTAGAATAAACAAAGCTTGTAAAACTAGGCAGAATTAAATATTTTGAATCAACCCTTTCAGCTGTGGTATGGCACACCACTGGAACAGCTTGGACTTGAAACCAAGCCTAACTACCACTGTATCGCAAGAGCCCCATCAATGATTCTTGTGATTCACACTATTCCCTGAATGACTTTTAAATCCATACTCATTCTGTCCTACACAAACTCATCAAGAATTATACCATTGTAGATATTTTCTAACCAACTTGTTCAGGGACGCTATTACACATCTTTGGGGCAAGTGGGTCTTGAACCCTGGTCTCTTGGGCTACCACTACACCACAAGCTGTCACAACTAGGGAGAATTATAGGAAGACTAGTAATTGAAATCACTGGAAATGTTCTAGCATTGACAGAACAGAAGTAGACCATTTTGCCCAATTGGTTCATTCCAAGGGCCTCTTTCTAAATGACTTTGCCTGTCAGTGTACCCTTCTTTCTCCCTCATGGCCTTGTTTCCCTCATCTCCATTATTTACCACATCTTCACTGTTCAATGTGTGTTGGTCCCAGATAAAACATTGACCAGTTACTTTTCTTTCATCAGCGGTTCATTGACTTACAGATTGGATTTCTATTGTTATTGCATTTAACTTGTTTTACATCCCTTCAGCCTCTAAAGAGAAATCTTTCAGTTTGTGAAATTAACAGGTAATGTGAAGGAAAACACAAGCCTGTGATGATCATTATCCTTTTCTTTCCACGGCCAGTGTGCATGGGTGCAAAGGCAGACCTGGTGTTCCTTGTTGATGGTTCTTGGAGTATTGGTGATGAAAACTTCCACAAAATATTGCAGTTCTGTTTCGACACCATTGGAGCTCTTGATAACATCAGCTCACATGGAATGCAGGTGGGTATGGTGCATTGTGCTGTCCTCATTTTGTAAAAGTGGTTCAGCATTTTTTAAATCCTCTTGAATTTGGCATGGTTGGTTCTAGCATCAATTTGGAGATATATAACTGTGGGCACAAACCTCCAGTGCATAACATGATTAGTACTGGGGAGGTGGTGTACCTTTTAGAAGTGTTGACATGTTAATCTAGAGATTTCTGTCTCTCTGTCTGACAACCACCATACACAGATCTATAATTAAACATTGTTTCACTGTAATGAAAGGCAGAGGAAGAATAATTTCTCTCACTTTAGCCACTGGCATAAATCCCCAACCATCCTACTCCCAAGAATTGCCTCCTTAAACTGTCATCCTTTTAAATACTTTGTCAAAGCTCATCTTTCTTATCAAGCTGTTCATCTCTTTTGCAAACATACCACTTTCCAGCCCCGTAGTGTGTTCCACATATATAAATACAAGTTGGTATGTGATAAATGTACATCACGAATACTCTTGTATTAACAGTGATTGCATTACAGCGCAACCCTTTGTGCGTGAAAAGCGCTGGGATATCCTCAGACATGTGCAAAAGTATTTTTGTCAGGTGCAGGTTCTTCATCACATTCCTGATATTCAAGTCTTTCTTTTTTGCCTTCCTTCTTTTCGTTGTCATTCTTTCTTTCTTCCTTCCTTTATTCCTTTCTTCCTTCCTTCCTTTATTTTCTCCTTTATTTCTTCCTTCCTTCCCTCATTCCTTCCTTCTTTTCTTCCTTTCTTTCTTTCTTTCTTTCTTTCTTTCTTTCTTTTTCGTTCTTTCTTTCGTGCTTTCTTTCGTGCTTTCTTTCTTGCTTTCTTTCTTGCTTTCTTTCTTTCTTGCTCTCTTTCTTCCTTCCTTCCGTCATTTTTCTGCCTTAATATTCCATGTTTTGGTTTATTTTTCTGTGTTTTAAGATAGTACCAGAGAGTGGTGACACTATACAACACTTTTCACTGTATTTTGTAACAAGATACGCACAACAATAAATAAATCAAATCAAATTTTGTTTTCTTTCTTTTTTCAGATTTCTCTGGTTCAGTTCAGTGATGATGCAAAAGCTGAGTTCAAGTTGGACACTTACAGAGATAAAGGAATGGTCCTTGCTGCTCTTCAAATGATCCAGTACAAAGGTGGAAACACAAAAACAGGTACAGAGAAATTCTCCTATTGGAAGAAAGGATGTGAATGCATTTGAATCAGTTCAGAGGTTTACCAGATTAATACATGGAACGAATGGGTTATCTTATGAAGAGAAACTGTACAGTCTAGACTTGCATCCTTTGGAATTTAGAGGAGCAAGAATTTGCTTTATTGAAACATAAATAATTTTGAAGGGTCAATGTGGAAAGGATGTTTTCTCTTGTGGGAACATCTAGAGTTGGGGGTCACCGTTCAAAACAAAGAGGTCACCCATTTAAGATGAGGAGAAATGTTTTCCCACGTAGATCCATGAGTCTTTTAAGAAATAAAGGCGCCACAGTCTTACCAGACCATAGTGCTGCTCTTTCATTAGAGAAACACAACTGGTGGTCGTTTAACCTGAGGGTCACCTCATGGTAACCTCAGCTGGTGTGGGAATTGAACCACTGCTGTTAATGTCACTCTGAATTACAAACCAGCCATACATCCAACTGAGCTGAGCGACACCCTCTGGCATTGCAGTAAGTGAATGCACCCAATTGGCCATAAACCCCTTTAGAGCATTCAGTTGTTGTGAAAAATGAGGTATAAACACAATTTTATTTTTATATTCATTAGTTGTGAAATGCTTTGGTATGTCCTGAGACTAATATGCTTTGAAAGGCCAAGTCATTTCTCTGCACGAGTAACTGTTTTGAAGTGGAAATTTCGTGTCACATCTCACAGAGTCAACGAGAGCAAAGCCTAATTGCATCTCGTACTCCTAATCATCATCCAGTGACTCCTGCGAGAATGTACAATATTGTGTATGTGTGTGTGTACAATAACCCTCAAAAATCTTGAACAATTACTGGAATGCTGTCTTCAGTTATATGGTTAATCTTCTTGAGGTTGTAAACTTCTTTTAACTGAAAACGTTTTTGATGCAATTTTACTTTCAGTTCTAATTTGGAGTTATTATTGCCTGATTTGTTTTCCCCCCTCGGCTAATTTGGCGGCATATGTCCAAGTTTCATGTCTAGTGTTAGAACTCATGATGTTATGCATTAAGTAATCAGCAGCCACAATTTATTTATTGCCTGCACGATAATGGCATTGTCAGTATCTGCCAATACAAGGTTTGGCAAGTGATTCCATCATCTTTCTGTTATCTACAACTGTGATCTCATCCTGCCTACACCAGCTCAAGCTCCATTTTTCTTCTCTTCCCCACTCCCCACTAATTGACAAAAAATACCTTCTCCAAATTATCCCTAATAGCATCAGTCCAATATTTTAGCTTTGATTTGGAGTACTGTTAACTGCTTTTTGCATTGGCCCAAGCTAACCACTCAGTTCGCAGGCATCTAGAGATGGACAATAAATGCTGGTTCAACCAGTAATGCCCACACGTCATTCATGAAAAAGTAATCCAGGTGCTCTGGCTACTGCTCTGGAAAAGTGGGTTCAAATCCCATCACAGCTGATGGAATTTAAACTCAACAAATTAAATCTGGAATGCTTGAAATCAGTAATGGTAACCTTAGAACTGTCTTCAATTGTTGTACAAGCCCATCTGTACATCGTTGTCATTCAGAGAAGGAGCTCTGCTGTCTTTGCATGTATTTCCAGACCCACAACAATGTGGTTGACTTGTAACAGCCCTCTTCAGTGGCCTACAAAACCGGGCAATGATGGATGGGCAACAAATGCTGGTCTTGCCAGTGATGCCCACATCCCATGAAAGACTGAATTAACTGGAGAGTAGAAGTGTTGGAGAACTTTGGGAAATGGGTCCAAAGTGATCTGCTCCTCCCTAAGCATCCTACATTCATGGAAACATAGAAAATACCAGCAGGAGGAGACTATTCAACACTTTGAGCCTCCTCTGCCATTCATTATGATTATGCCTGACCATGCAACTCAATTACTTCTTCCTGTTTTTCCCCATATCCTTTGATGCCTTTAGCCCCAAATACCATATCCAACTCCTTCTTGAAATCATTCAATGTTTGAGGCTCAATTGCTTTCTGTGGCCCACAGGCTCACCACTCTGGGTGAAGAAATTTCTCCTCATCTCAGTCCTTGAATGGTTTACCCTGTATCCTTAGACTGTGACCTCAGTATTTTGAACTCCCCCGTCATGGGAACATCCTTTGTGCATCTTCTATGTGTCGCCTTGTTAGAAGTTTATAGGTTTCTACTCTTCATTCTTCTATGAAGTCACCAAATGTTCTGCCATTCCAAAATCTATTTAGTTTGTATTTGAATGGATTAATAACAATACTAACCACAGCCACTGTTTCCATGGATGGAAAGTGAATTTACTGAAATAATTTTATTTTAGATTAATTCTCTAATAACTCAGAAAACACAACTGTAAAAGAGCATTGTTTATTCTGAACACCAAAATAGAGCTACTACTCATGGCACACATCATGACTAGTCCCAGCCTGGCACCTTATTTTTGTTTCTATCTAGTCGTGCTTTTAAACACAACTAAATGGCTTTTCTCCCACCACCAAATCACTTGTGGTATCTTTTTCCTTCTATGACCCAGCAGCACTAAATCACCTGTGTTTTCAACTGGTGTCTGCTTTGCTTTGTTTATATAGCCTATTTTTCTAATCAACCTGTTTAGAGATATTACTGCACACCTCTGGAGCAGGTGGAATGTGAACCCGGGTCTCTCAGTCCAAGGGTAGGGACTCTACCACTGTGTCAAAAGAGGGCCTTTTCTTTTAAAACGTATGTTTCTTATGAATCTGCCCAGAGATGTTACTGCATACCTCTGGAGTAGGTAGGACGTGAGCTTGGGTCTCCCGATGCAAGACAGGGACACTACCACTGCACCTCAAGAGGGCCCTCAGGATCTGCTTTACAAAGGTCTCTGGTGATGAGTTCAAGCACGGCAGGCCCTTGCCTGTTACCAAGGGAACTCATACTCAGTGAGCTCCATAGGGAGATTAATTAGGGACTCCCCATAGGCCTTGTAAGGGTCATCACAAGTTCAGAGTTTGCCCCACTAATCTTCCCCCTGGTGAAAGCAGATTCAATGATAACTTTTATAGAATCAGAAAGCAATTGGATAAATACGAAGAAGACAATTTTGCATGGCTATGGTGAAAATGCAACAAAGTAATGAATTAAACAATTCTTTGCAGTAGAATTGTCATAAACACGATGGATGAACCAGTGACTTCTAAAAACTGAGTGTAATTCATTGCCTTTGTATCTTATGCCTTTCTTTACTAATCCTAGGATCCCATTTTATTTTAACAGCCCTCTCAGATTGTTCCAGCATCTTCCACACTATTCAAACATACGCCTCTCCAGGTCTCTCATTTCCTGCACCCCCATGAGATTTGTGCCATTGATCTCGTGTCACACTCAAATAAAGTTAGTCAGCTGCATGTTACCACAAGGACAAGTTCCCTTCGCTTCCCTTTGCAGATGACATAAACTTTTCAATCTCGAGGAACTCCTTCCATATAGGTCAACTATAAAGGCTCTCATGAGATCTGAGTGATATTTGTCAGTGCTTCAGCTCACATATCCTGCCCTCAGCTGGGTGAGTCACCCACATGTTATGTCTGGACATTTGTGTTACAGACTTGAAAACTGAGAGCCCTGAGGTTCAATTCCCGACGGGATTTGAGATCAGTTTCCACAGGCAGTGTGCGCAGAATTTCCACCCTCGGATCATGAGGCTCATTAAAGGGACAGCAATGTTTTACTAAAAAAAAATTACTATTGTTGGCTTTTACTACTGAAAGAAGACACTGGTTGAGATTAATATTAATTAAACCAGGGGCACCTTAACATGCATTTACCTGGGGCAAATGCTGAAAATGATGACGAGGCTCTTTAAACTCACTTCCTCTCCAAAAAAAATTACAAGATTTGTCAAATTTTATATTCTTGACAGTGGCTTTCCTTTGAAATAAACAACTTGGAGTCGATAAATCCAATTTTCTGCCTTCCCAAGACATTAATTACGGGCCCAGACATTCAGTAGCAAGGAAGAAATCTGATGGTCTTCACTTCCATCTGATGTTTCTGTAAGAGATCTCTGCTATATTAAGGCAAATACTAGGCGATCTCATAAAAGTAGAGTTAGAGATGTTTCCACTCATTGTAGGTGATGTGATGTTGGGGGTTGACTGGCTACACTCTAAAACTAGGATCTTAAATAGAAGGCAGTCACTGATAAATCTAATGGAAAATTCAAGAGAAACATCTTAATCCAAAGATTGGTAAAAACGTATGAGAAAGATAAGGAAGAAACATTCAAACAATCTTCAGCCAGATGTGCCAAGTGAATAATCCATACTAGCCTTCTCCATAGTTCCCCAGTATTACATAGGAACTGCTGGACGACAAACATGCCCCTCATGATTCTATAAGCCTCTATAATGTCACCCCTCAGCCTCTGCCATTCCTAGGAAAATGGCCCCAGCTTATTTCAGCCCCTCCCTATAGCTGAAACACTCCGACCCTGGCAACATCCTTGTAAATCTTTTATGAACCCTTTCAAGTTTCACAACATTCTTATACTGTATGACTCTATAACTCACTAAGATTACATTGAGTCTGATTATTACAATGCTTCTGCTGGAAGTTGCATTTGAAAATGAACTAGATCATCTGTTACTGATTGACTGAGGGATAATTACTGAGCAAAACTCTACCCTGCCTGACCCCTCCACAAAACAGTGTCATGGGCACCCTTATGCCCACCTGAGAGGGCAAACAGTGTTTCAGAGATAGTAGGAACTGCAGATGCTGGAGAATCTGAGATAACAAGGTATAGAGCTGGATGAATACAGCAGGCCAAGCAGCATTGGTGGTCGGGGATGGGGTCATGATCAAGGGGGCGGTAGGAGGAGGTGTCAGAGAGCTGGCATCTGGCCTCGGCGATGTAGAGGTCAGTGCGCCATGCTACAACTGCGCCTCCCTTATCCACGGGTTTTATAGTGAGGTTAGGGTTGGAGCAGAGGGAGCGGAGGGCTGCACGTTGCGTGGGGGAGAGGTTGGAGTGGGTGAGAGGGGTGGAGAAGTTGCGGTGATTGATGTCTCGATGGCAGTTGGAGATGAAGAGGTCGAGCGAGGGTAGGAGGCCTTGGGGTTGGTGGTCGGGGGTGGGGTCATGAGCAAGGGGGCGGTAGGAGGAGGTGTCGGAGAGCTGGCATCTGGCCTCGGCGATGTAGAGGTCAGTGCCTGCTGTGTTCATCCAGCTCTACACCTTGTTATCTCTGGGGCAAACAGTGTTTCAGTTTATGTTTCATCTGTAGGGAACTCTTCTGGCAGTACAGCAATCACTCAGTTGTGAGTGTCAGCCTGGATTTTTGTATCCAGGTCTCTAAAGTGAGGGTTGAAGCCCATGACCTTCTGACTTCAAGGCAAAAATATTAACCACTGTCAATGGAAAAAGCATCTCCTCACTGGCAAATATTGTGGTTCTAAGCATGTATCTGCTTCAGTCTCAATCCTGCCACTTGGAGTGAAGGAAAAAATCTTCTCAGCGCCAAATCTCTTCCTCTTCACTTTCATTATTAAGAGCAAAGTATACTTCACCTGTATGAAATTAATCACCCATCAACTTTCCTGGATCAGCAAACAATGGGATCTGCCACAACCATGTTTGGGCTCAGTTTTGCTTGATGTTAAACAGTGTAAAGTATAAAATGATTTCTGTTTGTTCACAATCTGGTCTGTCACATCTTATTTGCCAAAAATGATGCAGAAAGATAATTTACTGGTGATTTAAATCAACCTTGTCTTTAATATTCCAGGTCGAGCTCTCAAGTTTCTCCGTGACCACGTCTTTGTTTATCAAAATGGCATGAGAAGGTCTGTACCCAAAGTTCTTGTTGCTGTTACTGATGGACGTTCACAGGATGAGGTTAAGAAACCTGCACTTTTGTTACAAGAAGCTGGTAAGTGTCCTGAAGAATGGCTGTGCCAGTCCGTGATCTTATCTGACCATTAAGTCACAGTCTTGGGTATCCTGTTGTGTCATTCATTCAATCCTCAGTCTTTTGCTTAATCTGAATCCTTCAGTTTAACTGAGAGGTACTTTCTGTTGTAAGATAAATCCTCACTGTGGCTATTGGATTTCCAACCACCCAGCTCTTTTTGTTGTGAGGGATGGATCATTTGGAGCTGTTTGGCTGGTTCTGGTAGAGGAGAATCACCTGGTCATCCCACAAAAAAGATATATTTTAAGATATGTTTATTGCATGATAGCAATTATGTACAAGATACATTAATGTGGTAGATATAGTGACAGAGATTATTTGAAGATGTTAGGTCTCACTTTTTCCAAGTCCTAAATTGTTCTTCCACCAAATTCAATTGATACCATCATAGCGGGTGATCTTTAAAGCACTCCTCATCATTAACCCTTACAGACTCTTACACCCTTATACAGCACTTTCCTTTTCTTCCATTATCACAGTGCCCATTAGTTGTTCTGAATTGATTGTTTACAGAAGTGATGCAGTAAATCCTCACTCTGTGCCGAAAGCGTTGTTTTAAAACTGAGCGTTCCATGCAGTAAAGATGTGAAAAGAACAAAAAAAAATTGATTGAATGATTAGTGAAAAGGTAAAGTCACCATGGTCCTACTGGGCCATAAAGATAAAGTCGTCACAGCCTTACCAGACCATGGGGCTGCTCTCTCGTTAGAGTGGTTGTTTAACCTGAGGGTCACCATACCTCAGGTGATGGGAGAGGTTGAGAAAGTGGGACCTTCATGGTAACCTCAGTTTGTGCAGGAATAGAATCCACTCTGTTGGCTTCACTATGCAATGCACACTAGCTATCCAGCTAACTGAGCTAAACAACCCCCCAAAAAAAGGTGACATCGCCATAGTCGCAAAGGAACATAGGCCTGCTTTCTCTCAATAGAGAGATACAGCTGGTGGTGGTTTGATTAGAACAGTGACAGTGGTTGCTTTGGGTTTGGAGTCAGATATAGTCCAGACCAGGTAAGGACTGCAGATTTCCTTTCCTAAAGGAAATTAGTGATCTAGAGAGAATTTTACAACAATTGATGGTGTTACATTGTCACCGTGAGATTACCTTTTAATTCTAGAATTTTTTTGAAATTTGGAAGCTGCTGTTGTGGGATGTAAACTCAGGTCATCATTAACCTGGGCCTGTACATTCCTAGTCCAATGACATTATTACAATGCCCTACCACTCTCGATGTGAAGCCATAACTGAGAAAATGTGTACTTACTTAAGCTATTTCATGTCTCAGCCATTCATCACATCGTTGTTCATATGAATCAGAAAGTATACCATGTCTCATAGATTGAAGAACAAAACATTTTTGACCAGGGATACAAACTGATATGAGTGGCATGAGCTAGATTTAATCCTCCCAGCCCAGAAGTCATGCAGAGAGTATCTGAGGTTAAAATACTGATTGCTCTCAGATTATGGTGTGTATTAAATTGGGAGTGAGGGTTGAGGAAAAGGAGAAAATTAGCAGGCCTAGGTATTATGGACTCGATAAAACCTCCTTGAACTATATTAGGAAGGTAGTCTAGACCTTAACTTTTTCTTATTTTAAAGGCAAGAGTCAAGAAATGCATTCCAGATGCAATTTGATTGGTAAAACTACCAGATTTGAAGCAAAATACACTTTATTCATGCACTATAGTTAAAATACAACAAAAGAAAGAATTGGTATAACTTAACTCTACTTGAAAAGTTAACAGAATAGTAGATCATTTAACCACTATACAGTAACTGTTCCAATATAGTAACATCCCATAAAACACACCACTGGCAAACGCAAATTCAGTAAAATAGATTCCGTCACTTGCAATTCTCTAGACCAGGAGGAAAAACATCAAAAGAAAACGCTTGACAAAAAGAGAGAGAGTAGCAGGAAGAGATGTACTGCAGCTTCCAATCCCAACTTCAAGACCCCAGCAACTGCGACTGATAAACTAAAACTAAAAATCCTGGTTCTGTCGGAGCTTGACCCTACTCATTCAGGCTGTTTCTATTGTTCCAACTTTAAAAAAAAAGGCCTCACAAGCTGTTTACTTTAATGGATTCAAGGAGCCATCTCTGCACTTCTGTCTGAGCTCTCTTCAAAATAAATCCAGGACAAAATAAACCTCTTAAAGCCATAGTATTATCACATAAACATTTGGAAACAGAGGAGCACATTGTATACTGTAGAAATAGACCATCCAATTAATAATTTGTTAAATAAACTTTATACTTACATTTGATTTGAAGAGTTGCTATTTAACAATACTGAACTCATGCTTTGGCAAATGTATTAGAAATTAGGAGACATTTTGTTGCCCATTTTTTAACATTCCTTATTTGTGTTTGTGACCTTTATATGTTAACATTCTCCTTTCTGCTTTAGTGCCTTGGGGTCTAATTATAATCAGGTTATGGATATGGGAACACGCTCGTACTTTGCCTTATATCAGCTGGTGACCAAGCCCCACCCCACTGGAATCGTTCTAGATTCTGGTCCAAAGTGTCATTGTTTCTGCTCAGGATAACAGGCAAAATGGTTTCTCGCACTGGCTGCATCTCAATCTTATCAAAGCATTTTAGTTTAACGTGAATCCTGGAGATCTAGCCTAGTCATAGATGACTGATGAAATTACATTGTCAGCATAGTCTCATCTTGCTGCATGGAGCCCACAATGAAACTGATGTGACTTTTTTTAACCAACAATCAGAATAGAAAAGTTTGAAATACACATCAACTAATTTGAGATGAGGCAAATGATGACTGTCTTGTGGTTTGAGAAAAGCAGGTGGTTTAGGTCCCCAAACATCACCTCATGTCTGGGCTTGTTGTGGACTAATTGATAGATTTCTGTAATTAGTCAACTACTGTTATTCAAAAAGTCAAGTCAAGTTGCCATAGTCTTACCAGAAAATAGGGCTACTGTCTTATTGGAGAGAGATGACTGGTGGTGATTTAACCTGAAGACCACCACACCTCAGACAAGGGGAGAGGCTGAGAAGGAGGTAACCTTCACCAGTATGGGAATTGAACCCATACTGTTGACATCACACTATTTTACAAACTGGCCAACCAGCTAACTGAGCTAAACCAACCCCCACCACTGCTCTTATTAAGTAACTTGTAACTCCCAGGAAATGCAATGGAGAACTTGATGAACGGTTGTCCTTTTTGGTTGTTGCCTGGCAGTTCCTATGTTCCTGTCAACAGTTCAACAATAGCTTCTGGCAATCTCTGAAACTGAACAATGTTGCTTTTTCCTTCCTCGCAGGTTACAGTGTGTTTGTTGTGGGGGTGGCTGACGTTGATATCGTAGAGCTGAAGAACATTGGCAGTAAACCCAGTGAAAAGCATCTCTTCATCGTGGACGATTTTGATGCTTTTGCAAAGATTCAGGATGAGCTTATCACCTTCCTTTGTGAAACAGCTACTTCTAGTGAGTACTTTCCATCCATTGCAATGATTGTCTTCCCCTTTCCCTCAGTATCAACAGAACAGCCATAGCGTTCATTAGCATTCCATGGAAAACCAGATTGAAGCATAGATAAGAATTCCTAGGAATAACCAAATTGAAATGGTTGACCAATTAATGTAGGCAATTGACAGATGTAGCAAAGGGCTGTTTGCACGAGTAGGACTATTCCTCCAGTTGGATTAGTGCCAGAATGAAAATAATCAGTGGTGGACAGTGCAAGGGAGCACAATATTTGCTGTTAACCAGCTCAGTTGTGTAAGCAACATGTCTTTGCCTATGAGTATGAATGGAAAGCGTACCCAACACAGCTCTTATTCTGTTTCAACCAGACCGCCTTGCCTGCTAACTGGAGTCATCTGTCACTAGAGAGAAAGTCTTAAGACACTTTTGTATTGACTCTGTAATTAGAAAGAAATCTTCGAGACATTTCTTGCATTGTCTCTTGAAATTTTTTTGAATGTCTGCTCCTAAACAAAAAATGACAGTGCTTCCTTGTTGCTGTAATCATAGACTTGCAGCTAGTTATGCATTAGAATGAAAAGATTAACAGTAGCGACCAGCATTTACATCATTTTTTATGTAGCTGGTTGTTTCTTGGTGGTTTGTAATGGCCCACATCTTTGATTATTTTTATTCTACCCCCTTCTCCTTAAGTGACCATTATTGACTGTTCTGAGGAAGGGTCACCGGAACAGGAACGTTTTTTCCTTCACTGATGCTGCCAGGCCTGCTGAGCTTTTCCAGCAACTTTGTTTTTGTATTGACTATTGGCAAGCTGTTTGGCCATGAGCAATGTTTTAGCTAAAACCAATCTGCTTTTCCCTTGGAGTTGCAATCAAGAACAGCGTTAAGTAATTCCTTCTTTGTTAGGCAGGAACTCTGAAGTTAATTTCAGTACACACACACA